TTTATTTACTAGCAAATAAATGCAAAATATGCACAGCATTTGATTATAATTGTTGAGTCCCTTTATTTAGTTCTATTCAATGCGATTCTCCGCATAGGAGCGCGTTTTTGACCGATTTTTTAATTAGAAGAATCGCTCTCCTTACTAAATACTTACTTGATGGTAATAAAGATTTTCTCATGCAGATGCGTTTCGTGTTCATGTGAGGCCTTAAATTATGAGGGATTAGCAATGCGCTATGAGGTGTAGTGCATGTTTATCATCAAGTCGGATTTCCCATATTTCTGCTCACAACCCTACGACGTAACCATAAAGGCTGACACCTATCCTGAGACAACTGAGGCGCAGGCGTTGCTGTATTGCCTGGAGTAGAAGGCTCCCTGTGTAGCGTCAAACTTCTGTTTGTACAAATATGTACCAGCAGGCGTCGTATTTTCGATATTGGGAAATTGATTTTATTTGGGGTTGACCATAATCTTGAAAAGGCGGTCGTTCCTGTAGAAGTTGAATTCTGAATGATTGTGGGAGACGCGTGTGGGGGCGTCGTTCTGGAGTTGGGTTCCGATTATGGGAAATCTTCATGAAAAAAGCGTAAAATAGAGAGAATCAATGGGCGCCATTTCTTGAGAATTATTCACCCCTGCACTCCCTCGACGACTACTTTCGGCGGAAAGTGGGGAAGAAAGTGAACGAATTAGAACTGTATCAGCAAGTAGAAATGATTCTTTCAAGATTGAACTTTTTACACAAGGCTTACGTTTCGGCTTCTTCGCCTTCGTCAGAGCCTGAAATGGTCAGAAGCATGTGTAACTTGTTCGCTCAAACGCCTTAACAGAGAACTGAAAAACTATTTCAGTAGACTAGAAACTTCCAAAGGTATTGATCGATAGAGAAATGGGACTGCTCACCTTAAAGGAATCCTGCGCGGAAATTTCTTGCTCCAATTCCCCACATGTATGTGTCAGTTGTGATCACTGGAGCCAACATACGAAGTTAGGCGCACGAACATTTAGTTTCCGAAGAGAAATAAACTTACCAAAATCATATTCCATGGACCATCGAAGGACCATCGGGCGGAACAACATAACTCATGGAACAATGTACGTGGGGAGGCGGCTATGTGTAAGGCGACGCGTTGTAGGACGAATTCAGGATACGACGTGTAAACTGCCGCGAGTGCAATTGCGTCCCAAAGCACAATTGCGCGTGATTTTGAAATCGTGCATTTCAACCCGATTTTTTTATTGAGTCGCCTGTTTCTAGTCAACCAATGGTCTTCCTTCCATGCCTCTCCTGGCTCGGCCCCGAATTTCTTCGATGGTCCATAAAATGTAGTTTTTGTACGTTCGCTTCTCTTCGAAGATCGAATCTTTATAGATGAAACTTTGTGTGATGTTCCCATTGATCACAACTGACACATTGATGACAGAAAGAATGTGAGAATTTTCTACGAGAGATTTCTTGGCATTATTTACCCTCTGCTGCCCCACTACTCGAGAACTCAGCCGGGTTTCTATCGAAATTTGTCTTTGATTGTAGATTTGTCGAGAAACTTGCCTTCAGGGGTAATTCGACCCGTGGAATATGAAAATCACATTCGTTTACCGCTAGGGAGCCTGGCGCGCGCGCCAAAAGGCGCCAGAACACCTCGGATCACCAAATTCGCTGGAAACTTGTAATCAGATGTATTAGGTACCAGATATCTTAGTGTCGCTTTTCTGAGTTCAAAAAGTTTTGAGGCCGCTTACCATGGAAAATCATTATCCTAGAAAGTCTTTTTTGCTCCTCAATACTGCAAAATATGTTGCTTATTGTTTTTTATTGTTACTTCATATTTTAACTTCCCCCAATTTTTATTCTTTTTTTGAAAATTCCTGGGTCCAGTGTTCAAATTCGTATGTGTGTCCCGAATGCTTCCAAATTCCTGCTGCGAGCTACAATTTCCGCGGGAACAATTTCTGGTGACGACACTCCAGGAAACGAGGTACCCGTCGCAAACGCTCGTGACGTCAGCTTGGCGGGAATTTGAACAACTAATATGTGTTTCGGTTTTTTGAATTTTTCTACAAAACAAACATTTATTTCTCGTTCTTTTCTTCCTCATCGTGACCTATGGGACTCAAGTCAGTGTTTCATAGGAGAGATAGGATCATGATTTTTCCGCGCAGGATTCCTTTAAACTCCGCCGCTAAGACAGGAGGACGACCACCCTCGTACTAACTAGTATGTGGTAACTTAATAGACACACACTCCTCCTCCCTGTTCATTTGAGGGTCTTTAGCAGTGATCGGACCGTAGCCCAATCCTATATTATCGCTACATCGATGACTGCCTTATCATATGTTCAACTCAGGAAGAAATGGACATTTGTTACGACCTCATGAGTAAGCAGTCAGGAAACATTAAATTTACACGGGGAAAGCCCGTGAAGGGTTGGACCTTTTTTGAATGTCCAGGTAATACGGGACACAGTAAGAGCAAAATGGTATCGCAAACCAACTGTAAGAACATATTGTTCATTACCAATCGGCGTACCCCATAAAAACTAAGCACGCGGTGGTCTGCAATGTCCAGAGTCGCAAAGAAAGTTTCATCCGATACTGAGCTGAAGAAAGGGTCTCTGAGCATGGCCCAGAGCATCGCCTTGATGAATGGATACCCGTACTCTGGGTCAGCACCACGGAGGTATTTCACTACTTCGACAGTCCGCGAAAGAACACCTTCCGACCAGGTGTCTTTTTGTTTGCCTTCCACATCCGAACAAGTGAGCAGATCTATCCGATCAATTGTGCGTCGGTGTGGTCTTCAAGACGATGTAAGGGTTGTCGAGATACCTCCATACACTCTTCAAAGGCATCTTATTCGCAATCGACTCTATGATACTGTATGCGGCACCTCTAACTGTGTAGTACGCCCATATGGCAAAGGAGGTGACTGCATGAAGGTGGAGTGATCTACTCAATACTCTGTTTGTAGAAGTGAGTATATAGGGGAACTCCTATGTGTGCGGGTTAAGGAACATCTGGATGGGCTGGATAGATCACAAACACATACCCCCCTAGGAGCTCAGCGGGTTATACACCACGCAGGTTCATCGTTGGCGTATCCGTGTCCATATTGGCGCTGGAACCCGACGTCGCGGCGCGCAAGATGCTCGAAGCATTTTGGATCACTGCTAAAGACCCTCAAATGAACAGGAAGGTGGAGTGTGGGGCTATAACCCACGAACTCACACCCTTCCTCGACCTTTGTAACCACTGATCTACCATGAGGTGGGTGGGAGGTACTACTAAGCTACCACATACTAGTTAGTACGAGGGTGGTCGTCCTCATGTCTTAGCGGCGGAGTTTAAGGTGAGCAGTCCCATGTCTCTATCGATCAATACCTTTGGAAGTTTCCTAGTCTGGTGAAATAGTCTTGTGTTTTGTCAAGGCGTTTGAGCGAACAAGTTACACCACAAATATTACACTCGTTTGAAGCAAAAAATCCCTGGCACGTGCATTATGGCGCTAGGGCACTCGTGGGCAGGCGATGCCCAAACATGTAGCGGTAGCTCACAAACACATGCAGACACGTGTGAGTTACAATCGATTAAGTAGGGAGATTAAAAAAATTCAGTCTTATTGGTGAAGAGTGCAAAACAGCAAACAGTAGAAGGAATCAAGCCCATGACCACCTGCCCACGAGTACGGCCAGCCAACAACGCGCCACTGCAACACAAACCGCTACCGCCTCGATTGCCTTATGCGAACAACATCGGGACGAAAAGGCCTCCGTAACCTCCTTATGATAGTCGCTTAGCAGATTTGGAAAGCCGATTTGAAATCAGCGTCCCAAGATGCATAGAGGAATGCATATCCTGTATCCTGGAAAACTTGATCACGGGAGATGGGAGTTCGGCTCCATACCATTCTTATAAACACCGCGCTATGCCTTCAGAGCATCCACCGACAGAAGCGAATCGGACCTTCCACCCCAAGAAGTGTCCTTGTTGCTGCTTCTAGGATTCGTCAGGAATGTTGTGTCGTGAGCTCTTCCCCCAAGTACACACTATCATCAGGAAAATTCACGGTAAACAGCTCTAGAAACTAGCGGACGCTGTTTGATCAAAACGACCGAGACGAGCTCAGGTCCAGTTACTAACGCCGGACCCCATACAGCTAAAGGTCTCATGCAAAATGGGAAAACCTGAAACGAAACTCTCGAAAGTTAGGGAAATCATTGACACCCCCTTCAGCTTTTTCAACCTTTGTGAATTTTTCTTATAGGAATCTTGAGGTGACGAAATTTGCTATAGTCAGAGAGGGGTAGTGTCAGAGTAATCGGGTAGGGGGAGAAAACCGTATTCCAGTCCAGCTCTAAGCCTTGTCGGACCATGGTCCCCATTCAAAAAAGGACCTTAATAAAATTAGCATAGAATTATCACAGAAGTAGCACTCACGAACACTTTTGACTACCCTAAGTGGAACACAGAAGCGCCTTATGTGCACTAGGCGAGCAAAAGGAACCACGCAAAAACCACATGCCACCGCAATGAAAACAGCAGTAGAGCTCAATAAAATAAGTCTTGAACGTTATTAAAAATCGTCCCTGGAGACTGAGAGAAATCATTGTAAGAGTCTGTGGTTTAGCTAGCACTCCATGCCCTACATCGTTCAACACGCTAACACTTCCCAGCCATTGTATTTAGCATAATTTAACGCTTTTTTCGGTCTTCTCTGCCCCACGAAACTCTAGGCTTGAGACAGAATTACCATCCTCATGCGTCGACTACATATTACGAGATGATTGTAGAATTGCTGTCCAGTACATACAGGGTTAAAGTCCATTGTAGCATAATAGCGGTGGAGCGTGAGAGAAGTGGAAAATGCAAAATAAGCTTCATAAAGTTAGTAAGAAAATTTATTTGCAGTTCGATCATACGTCATTACTCATTACGAAGACACATAGGTTTTTACGAACGCAATGGAAGCGTGAAATGCTATGAGTAGATTGAACATTAGAAGCCTTTGGTGGCTTTAAGGTAATCTTTGGTGAATTCTTCGAGATACGGTTGAACGCTGTCGTCCAAATATCGCGCTCGATTCAAATACAGTAACAATACTTGGTGAACGTAGAGATACTGGTGTTCCGTCTGAAATCATATTCCTATAGCGAATTCTGATCTTGTCGCAAACATAAGATAAACACCACATTCTATAGTAAACGAAAAAATAAGTAAAAGCCGCTAATCAGCTACCAATTGCGAGATCCATGCTTGAAGTGATGGCTTTTCTACAAGCGCCTGGGGTATCGTCTTCAAAATCGTGAGCACATTTCATTGTCACAAACAGTTGAATTGCACTACACCTCCGATAGTAATCACACTATCCGCTCAAGTAAATGAAAGTTGACTAAAGCTCGTCAAGTACTCATGCTGCCTCTTCTTCTATTCCGAGTTTTCCAACACTATTCCGGATGTGTGGTGGAAGAATAAGTATGTAGTGATATTACGCGTAATTGCTGGCGATAGTATTGCATACATATACCGACGAATGTTCAACTCACAGTGTGTCCTTCATCGGGTTGTGGCTGTGACATGGCGTACGCGTGAGTTCCTCTATGAAGCTGCGCACCCCATGCAGGTACTTCTCACCCATCCAATATTTAAGCACTAGCACTTTGAAAAGCCTTAACTTGGCCTCAAGTTTCGACAATTCCGTCTTCTGCGGAAGAATTGTGGTTTCTTTATGAGCGATCACCACTTTTAAAGGTTCGATACTGCTCCAATTTGCTCTCTTGCCTTCTGCGATGATACTCAAAAAAACGCGCCATCCACACTAGTGGTGAAATTGGTTGAGTCTTGTCGAGTTGTGTGACTGGAGCTCTATATTGGCGAGATCGTTCACGAAAAATTCTTGTGTTCTTTCCAAAGAGTAATGAGTTTTTTGAGAAAAGTCTTACGAAGAATACGCTGAGGGGATGGTCGCTGGTAGACGGGCGGAGACAGGAGAATGCACGAAACAAGATGCGCCTTTAGGTGACCATCAAGAGTGTCTCATCATCAAGAGGTTGAGTGATTGATTGGAGAACAGAGACAGGACCATCGAAAGAATCGAATGCAATAGAAATGCGATGATGTGAAATCCATTGCCATAGGTGGAAAAGCTTAAAAGAATTTCTGATAAATGCACTTTGAAACCAAGTAGATGGGCTCCCGGGAAATTTGTGACAGATCTACACCAGATATTCGAAGGCAGATGAGATTTTTCTGTTTTTTTTTGTTGTGAAATTTTCGGTATTCTCTTGGAAACTTCGTAGAATATGTCGCATTAATTTATACGCAGATTTAGCGGAACTTGAAACATCAGCCTTGCTCACTTGTATGCTGTTGTTTCGTTGTTTACGTAATTCGATGAGATATTCACGTATTTCTAGTAGTGGTGCAGGACGATGTAGTAATTCCATTGCATGTTGTAGAAGCACAATAGAGCCAGTCCTTCCGATACCCGCAGAACAATGGACAATTATAGGCCCTCTGAACGAAAATCGCTTGTTTCGAAACACTGACTGCTTTGATGAGGGAACGGTTTGTCGTGCAAAATAACTTTTCTACTACAGTGCGTACCAAAAGTATGTGGACACCCTAGGATCGATTCTCAGGAGTCAGCTCAACTCCTAGTGGCCCATGACCTACAATGACATTCTCCGCAAAAGATTTCGTTCTAACTTAGCGAACTATTTTTCATGGGAAGTATTTTCTTTGTATCAAAATTATGTGGACACCCTGAAGCAGATAAGAGTTTTTTTCATCGACTTTCCTAACCTATTTTGCACTTCTCCTTTCGTTTATCTTATTCTGGCATCATTCCTCTTCACGCAACGCGTTTTTCTGAAAAAGAAGACCGGACCACCAGAAATGGTCCCCATGCTTCGAACCTTCCTAATCGCGAAAAATTAGCAGCGCAACACGTCATGGCGTCCTCTGTTAGGGTTGGAGAGAAATCCGAAATCCTGCCATGCTAGGCTCTCGACCTTGACTTGGGAAGGGTCTGTTCTACAATCGCTACACTTGTTCAAAACAGGAAAAATAGCCTTAATTTTGTCAAATTATTCTTTTCGTACTACTCAACTTCACGCATAAATTGAATGATCTCCCGATCTGAGAAAGCACCAATGCGGAGTCTCAATCAGATCAATTGAGCACGACGACACAAAAGAAGATGAAGAAGAGCTTTGTATATGAAATGCGGTTCAGGGTGGCAAGGTTGAAATTCCGCACCTCAAAAACAGAATCAGCAACATGATACCTCGAAACCACACGGACAGACGATTTCGTGGAGATGTAATTATTAGTATACAAAGACTTTTTTCAGTAGATAATTGCTTCCACACCGAGGTGCGACTGGCAGAAAGAACCCTACTCCTACTATTCGGTGGGTCCTCACCGCTCCCTAATTTTGAAGATATTGCCGTTTTTCAAAAAAGTGTCCACCATAATTTTGATACACAGAAAAAAACTTTCCGATGAAATAAATAGTTCGCTTAAGTTAAGAACGAAATCTTTTGCGCGAATATCATTGTAGTTTTATCGACGCATTCTGGAGTTAAATGGTGGAGGTTCATAACACAAAAACCTTAAGCTGACTGCTTTGATGAGGGAACGGTTTGTCGTACAAAATAACTTTTCTACTACTGCGGCAGCTGGATCTCGTTTAAATTAATTGAAAGAATGCTATAAATATATTGAAAGAATGCCATAAGTACCACTGCATTCAGAAAGAATCTGCCGATTCCGCTGCCCATTCCAGATCGCTTTGGGCTAGTTTATAGTTTGTGTTGTGGCAAGTGACCTCCCACACCTACGATCCCAGTTCAAATCCCGGAAAGATATTTGCCTCCCACACCTCTGGAGTCGGTCAACTGTTATCAGGTTGCCTTCGGTCAACCCTTACCAGCTAGTCTGGGAAAAAGCACTGTCTTGCCAGATATTGCCTGTAGCCTATCGAGATGTGAGTACAAGTCCCATACCGCTTATTAGCATTTCTTTTCGCGGACTTCCCTCAGGTCAACGAGATGGTTCCACCAAAGAAATACGGACGGAAAGCAATTTCTAAGATTCCCTTACGGCTTCTGTCAGGTGTACAGGGTCACATTTGGTATGAATATAGTTGTATGTAGAGCTTTTTTGAGATATATTTGTATATATATGTGTTATGTACATATACATTTCATATAAAATTGATCTTACGCGCTATTTTTGAGTTTTGACAGTAGCGCTATCGGAGTGAGATCGGCTTCTGGTACCCCTCGATCTGGCCAGTCCAACCAATGGTAATGAATGCATGAGTGGACAGGATTAGCAGTCGCGTAAACATCCAAATACGTCATTCGTACCTGCACTTTTGTTTCAATCGGAAATTGGAACTGAAAAAGATCTATCAGTGCGGGTGTAATACGCAAGACAGTAATCACGTACATAGTCTTGTTTTTTGCAAACAACTCGTACTCCATCGAAGTCCAGACTTCCACCGGGATCTGTTGGGAAATACTCGGCGCACTTTTTCACATTCTTAACAATTGAATTTCAATGATTCCTCGTCACCAACGCTATTTTGAAGTTGTAGCAGTACTTCTAGCAATCAAATCCAATGTTAATGGTTGAACAAGAACAATTCAAAAGTATTATAGTTACGTGTCTTGTGAATATTGGAATGCAGAAGCTTTCTGTAGGCTTCCAGCGATTTAATTTAAATACTCATAAAGTCAATATTTTTGAAGAACTGAACAATTGAAATGCGCAGAAAGTCACGTGCACATGAAATTTTGACCGCTACTCTATGTAGGCTCAAACTCCCACTTATTTTTGTTTTGATTCGGTCAGAGTTGAAGCCACTATTGGTGCCATATACATGCCAACAAAGAAATACCTTCTCAAACAGAGTGAGGCAAGGCAAAGGTATTGATCGTTTGAACAAGTCAGGCTATTCCTACAGTACAGGGTGTCCCATAGATATCGCACAACTTTTATGCACTTTGCTATACTTGTAACTTCTTCCAAACTGGATATGTCTTCAAGAGATTCTACAAAATTTTAGCCGTACATTTACATATTGAAAGGAATGACAGTCATTGGATATGCTCCCCTGTTGTTGTGAGAATGGCTCCTAATTGCTTGGAACGCAACTTTACTGTGGCCCGCATGGCATCCTTGGGTGTTCTCTTCTGCACTTTCAGAGGAAAAGGCGCCCATCCATGTGAATACAATGTTTGATGTAAGCTCTGTTCCTTGACGTAAGCAACACAGGATGGTCCAGCGCGATGAAATCTAAGGATAGGAGAGCCAATCCGAGGATGCGAAATCGGGAAGAGTGCCTCAACAGCGCTCTCAAAGAATTTTTGCTTCTTATGCAGGAGCCGGGTCCAGTTAAAAAAATCGTCATCCCTCCTCGAATTTGCTAGATACCTCAGTAGTAGAAGGAGCACCAAAATGTCCCTTGGTTCGGTCTAGTATCAAGTTCCTTTGTTCCTATGTAAACAGGAAGTGATGGTGAGTGACGGTAATTGACTCTCGTTCAGACTATGGTAAGGTTCGGCGGCTGCTTATGGCGAATATTCCTTTCACTCTCATTGGCATCCCCAAAAACTCGTGCCGGCATTCCTGGAGTTTGAAGATTGTCGCTTCGCTCCATGTGGGGAATTTTGCCGTCGATGAAAATGGTGCCCGCGTAATCGCCATTTTTGGCCCTCGACACCAGCTATGAAGTTTTTCTCTCTGCTGTGCGCCTCCCGTTAAATTGAGCAGTGGTGCTTACGCAACTTATAATGGACTGTAAGCGGTTCTTGTCTGACCTCTCTCTATATGGCTGTGTTTAGAAACTCTAGCATACTGGTCACCTTCCTCGAGCCAGTCCGGGTATAGCAGTTTCTTTCGCTTCTTCATGGTTTTCCTGAGATCCAAGAAGTCAAAACTTGTGGGGCTGCCACAACAAACACTACTTTTACTTGGTTTCCTCTTCGGTACACTGTAGATCGCGGAGCGTTTGAAAATCCAAAAAAGCGCGATGTTCATCACTGGGTGTCCGACTTCGCTGTATGACGGAGGATTAGGACTCCATAGACATTCAGGTGCAAAATGAGATGTACAACGAATGGTAAGCCGTGCACTTCGGCTAGGTTATTCACAAGAGGTTGCAGGAAGTGAAGGTATAACAAGCTTGGGGGAAAGATTACAGACATCTACACAATTGAACCTCAAAATGTGTTGCAATATTTATGGAACATCCTGTAATAAATAAATAGGATTACGGCGTAGCGACTAGTTCAAATTCGCGCGGGTTAGTGGTGCTAAGGAGCAAACATTTAAAAAACTCGTCCAAACACACACATTGCTCATCACAAAGGAGGGTGGAGAGGAGATCTTCGATAAGGACATCATCAATAGTTCTATTGGCTTTCTTCATCTCTTAACAACTCGTCATCGACGCTTACATAATGAATCGCTGTCACCCACCAAATTTGAACCGGGGGTGCTGCTGCAAAATCAATACGACTGCTCAGAAAACGTAACTATTTAGTCGAATTCGCCCATTTCAATAAATGTTTCTCTAATTGGCCATGAGAACAAAGAAGTAAAAAGAACTAAAATGACCTCGAACCCTTCACTTTTACCTTGAAAGGAGACGAATGTGCAATGCGACCAATCAGACGGAATTCACAGCAGAAGCTGGGATGTGTGTCTTAGGAGTTTTAATGCTACTACACTCACCATTTCAACGAAATTGCACAACATTAAAATAGAAGCACTTCTCTCTTGTACGACCATATTCCAGAATTCATAGCATGTTTTTGGAAGAGGTGCCTTAATTGTTGTAAACCTTGCAGAGTACCGCTTACTCGAACGAGACCATAATGATCTGGCATCGTACTTGTGTGCAGATGAATCGCTTTGGATGATTTGGTGTGGCGACGTAATTGGCGTGAATATACGAGACGGTTCCAATCCTTACAATAACTCGCCTATTGTCTAGACATCCGACATCCTTTAATTAATAAGTTATTAATTTGTTTACCTTCAGAATTCTGGTGAGAGAAAATGCAGAAGTTATAGTCCACATCCGAGAGTTGGGGTAGGCGTGTCCCGCAAGTGACGTAGCTGCTGTCGCACTTGATAAAAGTTGCTTGGGCAAGCTGTCTCCAGTGCTTTGCTGATGTCCAGCGATGTATGTTGGAAGCAGCTTATCCGCGCGACATCTTTGAAGTGCGGCTCCAGCCAGTGACACGCCTACCCCAACTCTCGGATAATTCGCTTCAAGTTACCATGGCTGCGTTGAATGCAACATTTTGAGGGGACAATGAATTCTGCTTTCGTGACACGTCTGACAAACCACACTTTGTACGATTCATATATTGAAAGAAGATTCTAAGAGGAATCAAATTATTATAATTGTGCACACATTGCTGCCTTGTTGCACAGTTGCTCTAAAGGGACACAAGGAAACGCAGAGATGGGTGAGGGATCACAGAATCGTGCAGGGAAGGAATTTTCAGTAGAGACACTTCTTCAGCCAAGATCTTGACAGCAGACTTTTTTCAGCTCTATGTGAAGGATGAGTACTTCTACATTTCGGAAACATGATATCACAGGAGAAATGATTCACACATCAAGGAACTTCCGTTAGTAATCTGTGAGTTCGCCGAGAAGGCTTTAACACTACAGTAGAGTTCTTGCAGAGTTCTTGCAACTCTGTTGTAAAACCCTCGCTACTTTTGCAATGAATATTTCGGAGTCTCACATTGTTTTACACAAGCAGGTAAACACGAGACTCCTGAGCTGAACAGTATGAACTAAACCATGACTTTGTATACTTCTCGTTGGTTAACAATCAGCACATCAAGAAGCACAGTCCAGGATGGGGTGAATAAGCTGCAAGAACCAGGGCTGGGCGATAAGATGCACACGCCATCGTGGCAGAAGGTGCTCTATAAGCAACGTTACTAGGGGTCAAACAAATGCTGGCCTATCCATCATCTGCGTCGCCTCACCGATCTGCATGCTCTCTCGTCTGGCAGCTGCCGAAATTCCCCTGGCGTTTGTGAATTTTTGAATATGTGTAAGCGAAAGGTTGTAGTTGCCATTTTGTTGATTGGTAAAGCAACAAGTATTGATCAATTTATTTTGTGGGTAGGATAGGGTAGCCTGCGAGCGTCACAGTTAAGCCGTTTTCAAGAAGGACGTAGTCGGTTGATTTGATTTGTTTCTTTTTAATTCCCAGTCAACTCGGCAGCCACTTTAATCTGGGGTTCTTCTTCTCCCTAGCTTTGATCCCGCGTAATCGCTGGCTCAGATGTCTCACTCGTCGCCACTTTGCTCTACCTAGGGTGTTTCTGTTGCGATCATGCCACTTAGGTCCTCCTTGGTCATGTCTATCCATCTTCCCTTGGAGCTCCTCGAGGGCGCCTGCCTTGCGCTTCAAAGCGTATTGCCGTTATTGTCGGAATCCCGTGCCCTCCTTAGCACGCATACCATCGTAGGCCCTGTTCACGCACCTTTAGCTGGATTGAGGGTGTGCTCATTAGCGCTCTGACATCCTCGTTTCAGATACTGTACAGCCGCGTCTAACCGCAGACCCAACTCAGCATCTTCATTTCCACCGATTGTAGCTACCTTTCGTGGTTCTTGTTCAGTGGATAGCTCTCGCTGCCGTATAGCATCGCTGGCCTTACCACTGTGTGATACAACTTCTCTTTAAGCGCTTTGGAGCAGTCTCGATAGCAGGGCATTCTGGTGGACTCCATCAAATGCATCCATACCGCTTTCATGCCTTACTGCCTGGTTCACATTTGGCGGCGGCTAGATCGCTCTCAAAGTATCAGAAGACTTCCACTCTTTTGATGCCTTCCCCGCGCCCGTCCACGATTCGCACTGTACCCTAACCAGGGCTCAGAAACTCGGTACGTGCGAGTGTTAGCTGCTTTGGCTTCTTTGCACATATCACTCACCGGGGAGATCAGGTGCTTTGGCACGTTTTGTTCCCTGAGCGCTCTCATAGTACTCTTTACTACATGATACTGCTCGCTGTAGTCGGTTGACTGCCTTCTCTATATCAAGCAGTGTTAGGTAGCAGGGTCACGCTTCACTCTGCACTTCTCCATCACTTGCCTGGCGATGGAGGTGGCATCCGTTGTTAATTTTCAGGTATGAACCCGAACTGCTCCTGGGAGAACGGAACCGTCTCCCACAGCTTCTACCTGCCAATTGTAGAGCTTCATTGTTTGAGCGGTAATCTTGATCCCGCTGTAGTTGCGACAATTCGTCGCGTCACTTTTCTTTTAGGGAATGGGGACGACACCACTTGTTCTCCAGATACCCGGCGTCCTTCCCTCCGCAGTCATGTTATTCAGAGAGCTGGCGAGCCACCTTCGAGCCTATTTTCCGAGCCTCTTCCATGCCTTGAACTCCCCATCTAGACCCGCCGCCTTCCCAACCTTTCTCTTCCTTATTTCTCGACGAACCTCATGCCGTGTACAGAGAGAGCTCTGAGTAGCCCGGTGCCGCATCCCAACCAGTGTGACGACGATTTTTCAGCATTTCGATTTTCCGACTTTTCCTACGAGGCGTCCATCTCGGTTTTCTTTACCATGGCGACAGCTGCCTTAACAAGTCTCCTGCAGCACTTGTAGGCAGCCAAGTCCTTGAGGGTCTGTGTCCTCTGTTCAGCGCTTCACCCTTCCTTATTCCACCCCACGATTCGCTAAAAATCTGCGTTCCAAACCACACTGCCGTATCCTCTCTGCCACAACCTCGCATCAGTACCTCCATAGCACATCGAGGGATGGTCTGCTGCATGCTACAATTCCGTCTGGTCGACCAGCTTCTATAGTCCTTCGTTTGAAGTTGCCCTTCTACGCCTGGTGCATCTTCCACCAGCGGATCCTCCTTTTGGTTCTAACCTTTGCCTTCTTAGTGAGATCTATAGCAATTTCCGTCAGGAGGAGGCTGTACTAGAGAGTCAGTTCTTCGCCATAGATTACCTTGGTGTCCTTCACAGTTTTGAGGGATGATCTTCTCACGAGCATATGGGTGATTTTCGTTTGTCCCCCTCCACTGCTATAGGTTACTTTCTAGCCTCTCTTTTTGCGAGGAACCTGCTTCAGACCGCCAGATCGTGGGCTGTGGCTAGGTTTTGAATCCCCTCTCCTTCGGCGTTCCTCACTCCTATCTCTCTTTCTCCGTGCTCCCTTTCCAAGCCTTTTCTGCCACTACCGACGTGGTCATCCAGATCACCTGCTATTGTGAGTCAATCCCTTCCAGAATCAATTTAATGCCATCGCCAAGGCTCGGGTAGGTGTCTTTTCCCACTTTTGGGACATCCGGCTTGCAGTGCGTACACGGGCAGTTTTGTCTAGTACACTGCCCACGGCCATGATCCTATAACAACGGAGACATAGTCCTTGAGCGACTCCGCTACAGCTGCCATGCCGTTCCGCTTGGTCCATCCATTGTAATGTAATCTGACATCGTCCCTGATTTGCCTGATGGCTCCTTTTTATCGCGTCTCCTGAAGGCATAGGTCCTGGATGTTTCTGCGCGTCATCAGATCAGCAACCTCTCAGGAGTTTCCAGTTAGCAACGCTACGTTCAAACGTTCAAATCGTTCCAATCTGGGCCAGCTTCTTTGGCCGAGGTCGTTCACTCCTCGGTGGCCCTCGCATACCTACCATTGGACTCGGGCGGGGGTTTCGCGCGCCAATTGCGGGTGAAGTCTAGCTTTATCACGGATGCTTTGGGAGCTTTTAGGCATGGTTGGTGTTCAGGAGTAGCTGCACCCTTTTCGCAATTTCTGCAGGTTATAGCTGGAAGCCTCGGCGGGGATTAATTCGCGGCTTCCGGAGTTGTAGACATGAGGCTAAACTCTTAACCACTCGACCAACCCTGCCTGAAACTTGATCTCGGGCTGTTGCTTTCATCCATGGACGGCGTGGCCCACATGGTGACGCACGATTATTTCTTTTGTTTTTGTTACGTTTCTAACAATCTTAATATAATCGTATATAATGTGGAATAACATATCTTCCCAGGACCTGGACGAGTGGAGTGGCCAAAAAAGAGACACCCCATGGCGCACATCATCGAACTTTTTATCACACAGGGACCCGATGTTAGTGAAAGTTTTACGGCGGAATATCCCTCAAGAGTTCTCCCGTAAACAGTAGAAAGCCCTCGTTCACTGTCCCCGCCGTCTTCAGAATATGACGTCATATGCCGTCACCTCGAACTCCACGTGGCTTACCGTAATCGCTCCGACCTGAAGCTGTTACATAATTTCTCCAATGGATTGACTGTTGAATAGCTATCTAGAGACATCAGCTGTAACTATGCAAAGCCGCTTTCGATCAGCGTTTAAGAGACGTCGTAATCGTACATGGTATCTCGACGATCTCGTTGAGCTTGTACCGTGCACAGTGCTTCCGTGGGAAAATCTTTTGATGTCTTCGGTGTATAAAGCTGTTGTTTAGCATGTTGATAGATTACAACGTGCTCTTTAATATTTAGTTGGGATTATTTGGTTTGGTTTTGCAACGCGTAAATAATTCCGTTTTGAATGTAGAGTGAAGTGTCTCTTTTTTTGGCCATCTCTGTACACTTTGTCTTAATTTTCATAAGCTTGCTATTTGATGGATGGCTTACAGATGGTTCACTCGTCCCGGGACCCCTTCCCCGAAAAATAGCCACGTCCCTGCTCGAAGTTGTTGTTCCGCATTTTTCCATGATTTCACCTGCAGCTTCCATTCATCCTTTGCACCCTACTTTTTAAAGCAGAAAGGCGGGTTACGTTGTCATCAACGGAAATCTCCTCTTTTGAAAGNTGAGAAAAGGGCACCTACTCCAGCCCCGCCCTAACCCTGCGCTCGCCCAAGCC